TCTTTCTCGGAGCCTCCTCCCTCCATCTCCAGCTGGCTCTTTGTCTTCTTCCCCCCTCTCTCTTCCTCTCTTCCTTCGTCTCCTTTCCTTCTTCCTCTGTTGCTTCCTTTCTCCCCGTGGGCCCTTTCCTCTGTCACTCTGTCTTTTCCTTCCCTCTCATGGTTACTTCGTCTACGCATCTCTGCTTCTCCCCACCAGTCCCTCCTCTGTTGCTTTCCCTGTCTCTTTCTCTGTGTCTCTGGCTTCTGCTCTGATGGTCCCTCTGCCGGCCTCTATTTTTATCCCTCTGACACACCTCCTGTGTCCACTTCTCTGTCTGTCTGTCTCTCCCCCTCCTGCTTCCCCTCAGGTCCCAGCTCCTGGTCCCAATTAGTTGGTGGCTGCCAAGGCAGAGGCAGGGCCCCCACTCCTGGCTCCTCATTACCGCTGGCGGCTCCTAATGAGCCTGGGGGGAGGGGGGGCTGACCCGGTGCCCCCAGCCCCCTGGTCTGCGTCACTGCCCGCTGCGGGGGCTGTGGAGGCGATATAAGGGGGCTGCAGCCCGGCTGTGCGAGCCCACTGCGCGGTAGCGGGCCCTGCAAACGCGCGCAGGAGGTGGGTGGGTGGCGGGGTCCGGGGTTCTGGGCCAGGACGTGGGCCTCACTGAGCTCTTCCCTGTCTCTCCACAGGTGATGGAGACCCGCCAGGTGCCCAGGAGCCCCCGGGTGCGGCTGCTGCTGCTGCTGCTGCTGCTGCTGCTTGTGCCCTGGGGCGACCGCACTGCCTCGGGAGTCGCCCTGCCCCCCGCCGGGGTCCTCAGGTAGGAGCGGCGCCCCAGACACCCAGGGGGGGCCGGGGATTCGGAGAGGAGGGAATAGACCCAAGGAGAAGGGGGCACAGACATTCGGGAGAGAGGAGGAGGGAGACCAGCGGTGGAGCGAGTTAGAGTGTGGACAGGGAATCAGCACGAGGAAGAGATAGAAGATTCTGAGAAAGGCGTTGAGAGATTTGAAAGGAGCCGAAGGAGAGCGGATTCGTTCCTTGAGCAAAGTTTACTGGGTTCTTAGTGTGTATCAGGCCGGGCGCTGAGCCCTGAAGTCGGGGTGGGGGGCAGGCATCAGACTCGGTCTCGGTACTCAGGGAGCTTCGAGCCCGGTGAACAGACAGAGACGCGTACAGAGGGAGACAGGGGGACCGAGGACAGACACCGAGCCACTCCACAGACAGTGCAGGGACGGGGCTTCCAGTTACAGGGCGGGGGGGTACAGGTGGCGGCGGGCGGGGGTCCGGGACCTGCGGTAACCGCCTCCCTTGGTCTCCTCGCAGCCTCCGCTCCCCCGGCCGGGCCTGGGCGGGACCGGCCACCCGCCTGTCGCGGCGGAGCCTGGCGCTGGCGGACGACGCGGCCTTCCGGGAGCGCGCGCGGCTGCTGGCCGCCCTCGAGCGCCGCCACTGGCTGAACTCGTACATGCACAAGCTGCTGGTGCTGGACGCGCGCTGAGCGCCGCGCGCGCCCCGCTTAAATAAAGATCCTGCAGAGCGCTCGGGTCTGCGCCTCCTTCCTGCGCCCAGGGTGTGTGTGTGCGGGATACGCGGGCGGGGCTTGCGTCGCTACTCCGGCGTATCTCGTCTCCCCAGTCCCCTCTGTCTTTTCTCTCTCCTCCCCTTCCCCCCCCATCATCTTTCCCTCCCTCCACTCCTGTTCTCTGTCTGCGTTTCTGCTCTGCCCTCCCTCCATGCCCCAGCTCTGTCCCCTCCTCTCGCTCTGGGCCTCTGTGCCTCTCCACCTGCGGGTCTCTGTCCTCCTCTCTGGGTTTCTGTCCCCTTCTCTGGTTTCCTGCAACCTATCAGGTCTCTGTTTCCCTGAATCTCTGTCCCCTTCTCTAGGTCTCTGTCCCTCTCTGAGTGTCCGTTCGCCATCTCTCTGAGTCTCTGTACTTCTGTCTCTTTTCACCCTCCTGGCTTCCTAACCCTCTGCCTCCTCTCCCTACTCTTCTTTCTGCCTCTAAAACTCTTCTTCCATTCCTAATCGCTTTCTTTTTTCTCCCTCTTCCAGCTCTCATGTTCTCCGAATTTCGCCGTTTCCGCTCTCTCCTCACTTCCTGACTTCTCTCTGGGCGCAGTGGACAGATTGGGGGGGGTTGCCTCTGGGGTGAGATGTGCCTACCATTCAAGACCAGGTTCCCCCAAACCTAACTGTGTGGTATTGGGAAGTGCTGCTTAACCTCCGAGCCTTTTTTTTTCCCCTCATCTGAGGATTAACCGAGATACACCATGAGACAACTTCATCACAGCGCCCGCGAAGCAAAACGCTTTTGTTAGAAAAGGGTTTCTGTCTCTCTAGCAGCAGCCTCCAGAAGTTTGTTCAGGGTTTTCTGACTGCGCCCTTCCCGGGAGACCGTTGGGGCGGGAGGAGAGGACAGAGGGGACCAGGCGTCAGGCTCCCGGAGGCGCAGGGCTGGGGAGCAGGTGAAGCAAAGCAGCAGCCAGTCAGAATCGTTTTCCGTTTCTATCTCTGTCTCTCCCCTCACTGGCGGCTCCCGCCAGCCCTTCAGTCCCAACGCTCAATGGTGACCATGGCAACCCACTCCGAGGGGTAAGCAGAGGGTTCTGAAGAGCGCGCCCGGGGCGCGGCTCGTGCGGATCGCACGCTGATTGGTCTAGAGAAGAGGGCGGGGCTGTGCGCGTGGGCTCGGGGGAAGGGAGCGGGGCTGGCGCTGGGTGACTGGCAAACTTTCGCATCAGTTGTATTTCTGGGAGGCGGACCGCGCCCTAATTGGCCCTTAGGCTGTAGGGGGTGGACCTGCTTCTCTGTTACTCAGATACCGAATAATGAAGGGATAACTATATTCCTCAACACCATCTGGAGTCGGCCAGATTTCATAAATAAGACTCTGAAAGTCAAGAGTAATTTCCCCAAGGTGTCAGCGCCAGTAAAGGACAAAAGGGTAACTGGAACGCAGATCTGTGTGACTTCCAATCTAGACCTTGCCATTACTCTCATGGAGAGATGGGATGAAAGAGTTATGAGCAGTTACTATATGCCAGGCCCTCCTCTAAATATTGCACTCCTATTGGCTCTTTGAACCTCACAACCACCCCGTGAGGAGTCTCACCGGCTTTTGGCTGGAGAGCCTGATAGCTGGGTCTTGGCCTGAACTCCTCCCATACCTCCTCCCTAGATGTCTTCCCTAGCGTTTGAGGCTTTTCGTAAAATGGTGCCTGGAAGCCCTTCCCTCCCCACTCTCCTCGGCTCTCCCCAGGAAATTTCAACAATTCCCAAAATGTCAATCACAGGTAATAACACGCAGAACCCCATCTCCAGACTGTGGGCTCAAGGCTCAGGGCGCCGGCCACTTATTGGAACGCTGACACTCACCCCATCCCACATGAGCTCGGTGTTGCCCCAAGCCCACTCCTTCTCATGGGTTCCCATTTCGGAAATGCTCCACTGTCTACCAGTCATTGGGTCACACCCATGTGCTGTCCTTGCCCCTTCCTTCTTCAACCTCCTTCACAGCCATCAGTCTCTGTCTCCGTCCTTCCTGCCGTGCCTCTCTCTGCCCTCCCCCTTCTTTCCATCCACATGCGCATCTCAGCTCAGGCCTCATCCTCTCCCACCTGGACCACAGCCCCAGGCTTCTCCCCACATCCTGCCTCCAGCCTCACTTCGTATTCATCCCCCTTGCAGGCTCAGAAGCTCTCTTCCCCACCTGGAGCTAATTCTGTCCTTTCCCTGCTCATAGCCCTTTCTTGGGCACTTGAGAATCAAGTTCAAGCTGGTGTTCCAAACCCTTCATGGGCTCTTGCCTACCTCTTTTCTCACAACTCTGTAGCCTCAAATACTTCCTTGGCCCCCACCCCCCCCTTTTTTTTTCTTTTTAATCCCAGCAACATGGTGCTTTCTATGGCCCTCTGCACACAGAGGCTCTTTCCCACCACCTGGTCTTCACACACACTATTCTCTTTGCCCATGACACCCTCCTTCGGTCCCTGCCCACTGTAATAAACTTTACTCATCTTTCAAGACTGCACACAGATGTCACCTAATTGGGACAAAATCTCTATCCTTCCAAGAGGGGTTAAGTGCATTTTCTGGGCTCCATGGAACCTACAGCTACCTACCTCTATCACTACTTGCCTTTAAATAGGGGTAACTCTGACCCTCCCCTGCTCAAAACCTCTGTGGTGCTGAAACTGTTCATATCTTGCCCTGGGTTTTGGTTTTGTGGGTGTTTGCATATGCAAAAACTCATGCACCTGATACTTAAGATTTGTCCATTTATCTGTATGGTTCCAGTTTTAGTGTATGTGCTGCTGAAGCGAGCATGTCCATTTATCTGTATGTAAGTTGCATCTCAATTAAAACATAAATAACCAAAAAAACCCCAAACAAGCAATAAGATGTCTGAAAGCTCCCATCATCCTCAGGAGAAAAGCAGTGTTCTTCAGCCTGGCATTGGGGGCCTGTTTTTCTACAGCTTTATCTTCCTTTCTTAAAAAACTAATTTAATGAATTTTTGAAAGATTTTATTTATTTGAGAGTGAGAGAGCACGCAAGCGTGAGTGGGAGAGGGGCAGAGGGACAAGCAGACTCCCTGCTGAGTGGGGAGACCTCGAGATCATGACCCGAGCCAAAGGCAGACACTTAACAGACTGAGCCACCCAGGTGCCCCTATAGCTTCATCTTCTAAGGTCTAACTGTGACACGAGGATGAGAGTAAGCAATGAGTGAGTAAACGGCACAGTGGTCCATTTCCTGCGGGCTGTTTGTACTGCAGGGGACATCTGTGATGTGCGCCCGGCCCACGTGTCTCTCTCCCTCTTTCTGCCAGGAGAGGGGAGAGGTGCTCAGTCTCCCGGCCTCTCTTGCAGCTAGGAGTGGTGCAACAAACACTTTTGGCCAATGAGACATAAACACAGGTCTGCTGCTGGCTCTGGGAAGGCCACGGCTTTTCTTTATAAAGAAAGGAAGGGATGCGTCCCCTTCTTCCTACAGGTGTGACGTATGAAGCTATGCGTGTCATCTCCTGAGCCAGAGGGAAGGGCCGAGAGGATCTCATAGAGAATCAAAGCTCCCTCTACCCCCAGGCTGTGGAGACTCGAGCTGTGGGCCCACAGCTGTCCTCCTCCAAACTTGTTTTAGGAGGAAAATAAACCCTTAGTATTTAATCCATTATTGGGTGTGTTTTGCTATTGCTCAGAAACGTAGTCACCAATGTTAAAAAAAGAACCGAAAGACTTCACAGAAAAACCCAATACAGGGGTGTGGATCCTGGAGCACTGTATCTGGGGTCCCCATACCAGGTTCCTCTCAGCTCGAGGTGGCACAACAGTGGTAATGACAGTGGGATTCCCGGGGGAATTCTCTGACTAGACCTTGCTCTGAGCGGCTCACACAGGGGGTGGCTGGAGGTAGCAGAGCTGGAGGTGGGGCCAGGTGGGGGGCGGGGACCGGCCCAGCAGCAGGAGGGAGAACAGCAGGAGCAGCAGCAGGCCCAGGAGGCGTGCCGGGGTCAGCGGGGGCCAAGCGACCCTGGTGGGAGGCAGGCCGGTTCTTCCGGAGGGCCCCGGGGCAGGGGGTGGCTGGTGCTGTCTCAGCAGGGGGCAATGCCCCAACGGGTGATGGCCACCCTCCTCCTGGAGCCGCTTCGGGGTGCACCTGAGCAGCTGGGGCTGCAGCGGGGGCAGACAGAGCTGGCCCGAGACCGGCCTCCTGACTGGGACCAGCTCTTTCCGCACAGGCACCAGGGCTTGCCGCGGCTCGGGCCCGGCAGGGCTGCTGGACGGAAAGGAGGGCAGGGCAATCACGCTGGACTTTGCCTCTGCCTCCAGGCCCCTTCCAGTCCCCGGGGTCCTGTTACCTCTCAGGAGGGCTTCCTGGAACATCTTCAGGGTGAGGGTCCCCCAGAAGGCTGGGGAGATTGGCCTAGAAGGACAAAGGAGACAAACTTGGGACCCTCGGTCCTGGATTGGGAAAGGCCCTTGGTTCAGGCCACTGCACAGAGGTGACCACATGGAAGCGGGTGGAACACAGTGAGACACCCTGCCAGGTTGGGTTCCCAGCCCTGTCAGCTTCCAGCTGCATGTCCCTTGGAAGGTCACCCTGCATCTCCATGCCCCACTTTCCCCATCTGCTGGACAGGGTCCGCGACAGTCGCCAGCTCACAGGGCCAAAGGGGAGTCTGCATGAGGGAATGCAGGTCAAAAGCAAAAAAGTGGGAGGGCGCTTGGAGCAGTGCCTGGCGCATAGTGGGCGCTCAGTAATTATGGGAGCTGTTCAAAATTACTATTTCCCTTTGCCTCTGATTCTGCAAGCATCTAAGCTCCCTGAGGGCAGAGACCCCATCTCCTCCAGGAGTCCAACCCTGTGCTGGGCCTAGTCCAGCACGGGCGCTCTTCCTGCCTGCGTCAGAACCTGCAGGTGCTTTAAGATGAAAGCCCCAAGTATTTCTCCAGGGGCCACCTCACCCCCCATGTCCCTCTGAAAGGGCGCCCCCTCTGTTGGCCTTGGGCTTTCCCACCCGTGGACGCTGATGATGGCAGTGAGCAATAATTAATAACAGGGGCCACCAGACTCAGCCCCTCCCTTCACCACAGCCACCTACTGTGCGCCTGCTCTGGGTGGGGGGGGGCTTTCCCGTGGTCCTTAAACAACATCCCCCCCCACACACACACACACAACTGCGAGAGATCGGTGTCAAGTCAGCTGTGAGGGAACCCAGTCTCTGTGGAGGAAAGTGGGAGGTGGGCTTTGGGGGTCAGGTTGCACAGAGAGACCATCTTGGAGGGTTTGGACCCTGAAGGGGCCCAGATGCCTGGCACACGTTCGGGCTCTCACATTCCTACCCTGAGGACCACGGGCTCCCCACCGCTCCTCCCCGAGCTTCCCTCCACTCCCCTGCCTTGAGAATGGGGACTGGCACCTGCACCTCGCCCTGCGGCTTCGAGGAGCAAAGCAGCTGGTGTGTGTGGTGCCAGGCGGGGGAGCCGTCACAGGCGCTGTGCCCCAGAGAGTTCTGGGGCTGGCTGGGGAGTGCCTGGCCCCTTCCTGTGTGTGGGTGCATGTGCGTGTGCATTTTCGCATTCCGGGGGTGTAGCCACGTCTGTGAGGCCTGTGGCTTAGCGGCTGCAGCCCTGTGTATGTGCTTGGGGGGTCCCCCGGGAACATTCTGGCCGCCCACTGGCCTGCAGGCCTTCCCCCACAGCTCTGTCCGCTCTCATTAGGCATAGCAAGGGCCTTGTTATCTCTTGGCCAAATGATTTTTCTGTCTGCTCAGGAGAAGTGGGGATGTGGGTGAGGGCTGGGAGGAGCCGCCACTGTGTCACCCTCCTCAAGGGCCCGGAGTGGGTGGGGACTGGGAAGGGGTGCTGGGGACTGCCTACCGTGATCTGGGGCTCTGCTTCCTCCTCTTCCTCTCTTCTGGGCAACCTGAGGGGACAACAGAATCACTGCAGAATCACTGCAAGCATCTCCCCTTGGCCTGGCTCCTGTTCACCCACTGTGGTGCTGGATGAGCCTTTATTTTATTTTATTTTTTTAAAGATTTTATTTATTTATTTGACAGAGAGAGGCACAGTGAGAGAGGGAACACAAGCAGAGGGAGTGGGAGAGGGAGAAGCAGGCTTCCCGCGGAGCAGGGAGCCCAATGCGGGGGCTCGATCCCAGGACCCTGGGATCATGACCTGAGCCAAAGGCAGACACTTAACGACTGAGCCACCCGGGTGCCCCTGGATGAGCCTTCAAAGCAGGGGTCTTAATGGGGACCGGGCATCATGGATGGGCCTGGGGGTGTCCTGGAGCCCCATGATCAAACTGCTGTGTGTAGGTCAGTGTGCATATTTTGCAGGGGAATTTTCAACAAACTCTCAAAAGAGTGTGTGACCCCCAAAAAGGGTAGGAGGGTCTCTTGATCAAACTGGCTTTCTCTTCTGCTATTTTTCCGGCTGATGCCTTAGCTGGGAGCTAGGCTTCTGCTCTCTTACTCTCCCAAACACCAGAGACTCAGAGCTCCCTGAGACTCCAGGGCAGGTGTAGACCCACCCCCCCAACTTCGTGCCTGGGGGGTTGTGCCATTTTCAGTGAGTCTCAATCTTACTGGGTCTTCTTTTAGGACTGAGATTCCAGAAGCCAACTGTGTGAGCAACTCTCCTCACAAATCATTTCTCTTCGGGTGCAAGCCTCCAACCTCTGCCCCTCCAAGGGTTGCAGCTGCCTGAGCCCCTGAAATACCTATCTGGGGACTTAGACCTCAAGCTGCCCAGCCCAGATGCCCCTTAGAGACCCAGATGTCCCTACCACTGGCTACCACCTTCACTGGGGACCAGGGGTCTGGACCTCCAGCTGCCGCCACCTTGACACCCTCAGGACACAGCTGCGTCTTCAACTAGCACCCAAAAAGTGCTAGTAAGCTAGGCTGGTAAGCCCCCAGCCTCTGCCCAGTCAGACACACAGCTGTCTGATCCCCTGGAACTGATACTTGGACCCCAGGTGGCTCCTCCCCCAGCACCTCTCAAGATCCAAGCCCTCACCCCTAGTCACTTTTAGGGGCCACGGGATTCACCACCTCCCTTGTTTCCAGCTGCCCAGTTTGTGGATCTCACTGCCCTGCTCCTGGGAAATTCAGATGTCCAGCCCCTGCCCCTGCTGCTGCTCAGTCCCTTCTCCCTTCCCTTCCCCGGTGACGCAGGGGGAGGTCATAGCTCTGGAGCCCCCCTCCTGCCCAATCTCAGCTTTCTCAGACAAGTCCAATTAGAGGCCAGTGGCAGGCAGCCTCATTAGTTGTTGCAGCCAAGAGCCTGAAAGAGGGGAGGGGAGGGGCGGGAGGCACCACAGGAAACCACAGACCCCAAGGCCAGGCCTGAGGAGGCTGGGCCCAGACATCTAGGGCTTTATCTCTCAGAGGCCTGCAGCCGAGCTTCCTAACAATCACAGGGCTGGGGCTCCACGGCACTGATGCTCACACCACCCCCATCCTGGGATTTGAACCCAGGCTGTCTGATTCCAGAGTTCCCGATTGTCTCCTAACTACCTGGATGTTCTCCAAGGGCCGGTCTGGGTTTCCTTCACCCCAGGGTTCCCTGGAGGCCTTGGGAGAGGTGTGTTCAGTGACAGTGACCCAGTGACTGAGCTGTCCCATCAGCCAGACAACTGTCTTCTTCTCTAAGAGTCTCCTATATGAGTACTGCTCCTATGGGACCCCATTCAAGCATCATGTCCCCGGAAAGCCTTCCCCGCCCCGAGGTGGCTCCAAGTGCCAGATGCCCTCCCAGAACCGGCTGGGTCAGAGTCTGTCTCCCTCTAGACCAGGAGATGCTGAAGGCAGGGCTGGGGATGGCTCATCCTGGTCCACAGGCCAAGGGTCACTTCAGTGGGAGGGAATGAATGAATGAAAGAGTGGATGATGTGCAATTCCCCCCAGGGCTTTTCCAGTCCTTGTACACTGTCTAAGAATGTGGTGCCCCCCCAAGGCAGGGGGATGGCTCTGGAAGGAACAAGCTTCTTACCACATCGATCGCTCCTTCCTTCCTCCCTGAGGGTGCACTGGTTCTCCCTGCAAGTTTCTCTGTGGGAAAAGGAAAGGTTAGGTCTCCTGGGCTGTGACACCTGCAAGAATTCACCACCTGCTTCTAAAACCTGCCCTCCTCTTGGGCTCCCTCCCTGCCCTCAGCCGTCCTGTGGCTCGATGGAGAAAAGTACGATCTCCCCACTTGATTTACAGGGAATTCCTGTTGTGATCGGGCCTCATGGCTCCCTAGCCACCTGCCACTCCCTCTGCTGCCCAAGCGTGTTCTGTGCTTTCATGCCCCACATCCCCGCGCGTGTGCTTTCTGCTGCCAGGAAGGCTCCTCTCTCCTGACACCACTCAACTTCTCTCTCTTCTCTGAAATAAACTCAAGTGTCAGTTTCCCTGTGACACCGCTATAGTCTCCCACCTGACACAGGTTCTCCCTTTGCTAGGCTCCCTCAGGGTCCACCCCCCACCTCTGCACACACATCACCCTGCATGGGGATGGCCCATTCGCACGATCTCCCCACCAGGCCCTGAGCCGCTCCGCGCCATCGCTCCAGGACCTGGAGCCAGCGGCACCCTGAGGCCTAGGTCGGCACTCCCCTGGATGGGGTGTCGAGAGCTCCCAGTGGAATTCACTCTCACACCTCCTCAGAGGGATGTGACTCTGTCGCCCACAGGCTGTGTGACTGGGACGGGTGACCTCTCTGAGTCTCGGTTTCCCACAGGTAACAGGATGAGGGGTGAGGTTGCGTACCTCGCAGAGATATGGGGGGAAGTAAATGAAAAATCAGGGGCACCTGTGTGGCTCAGTCAGTTAAGTGGTTAAGCATCTGACTCTGGGTTTTGGCTCAGGGCATGATCTCAGGGTCATGAGATCAAGCCCCCCATTGGCTCCGTGCTCAGCGTGGAGTCTGCTTGAGAATGTCTTTCTCCCTCTCCCTCTGCTCATCCCCCAGCTTGTGCTCACACTCTCTCTCTCAAATAAATAAATCTTAAAAAAATATTCAAACAGGGTGCCTGGGTGGCTCAGACGGTTGGGCGTCTGCCTTCGGCTCAGGTCATGATCCCAGGGTCCTCGGATGGAGTCCCATATCGGGCTCCTTGCTCAGCAGGGAGCCTGCTTCTCCCTCTGCCTCTCTCTCTCTGTCTCTTATGAATAAATAAATAAAATCTTTAAAAAAAATTCAAACAGCATGGGTTTTGAAGGGAAACCCAGAAATTTCTCTCAACCCAGGGAGAAAATGAGCAAAGAAATGAGTTTCTCCTTTAAGAATGGTGAACAGTATAATTCTGAAGCAGTAGTATTTTCAAGACAATGCAGTTACAGAGCTGTTAGCAATATTTTCTTTTAAAAAAAAGAGAAAGAGAGAGACTTCTGGCACTAATAGATTAAAATCTCACTTTTCTGTTGTGGACATTGAAGATGAGTTGTCTTGATCATTTTGACGGATGTTGAAATACTGCTCAGGTAACTACAGAAGTCATAAAACAACCGCTATGGGTGAGTTCAAGATTTCACAGTGGGCTTGCTAAGCTGCTCGTAAAGGTGCCTTGTATCCCAAAAGTAAAAGCTTAATGTATCTTTATGGTGTTCGGAGGAACGATTCATTTCTTAGCTTCCCCCTGCAGGACCATTGTAAATGCAGTGCTTCCTGACAGTGTTTTCGCAACGACAGAACTACCACCGTGCAGCCTGCGTTCGCTTTGCTTGCTCTTGTCTGCTCCCCTTGCGGCCCAGTCCCCAGAAGACAGGGGTGGTGTCCTGCTTGGCTTGGGCTCTGTGTCCAGCAGGCCCTCGGTCAACGTTTGCCCGTGGAATGGGCAGCAAACTCGTGGCACATGGAGTCCCAGGCCCCTTTCCCAGCTCCTGGACTCCGGTGGTCCTGGAGCCCCTCCCACGCTCACCTGTGCCCCAGTTGGGGCTTCAGGCGGAAATTCCACTTCCTCATCCGTCTCAATGATGACCTCCTCCCACTGCCACACGCCACACAGAGGGCTGGCGAGAGCGGCGGCTGCCACTTCTTGTTTCTGGCAGAGGAGAAGCTGTTTCTGAGGCCAGGGGGGGCCAGGTGAAGGCACAAGATGGGTCAGAGATGGGGATGGACACGGGCTGAGGCATGGGGTGAGAGAAGACGGTGGTGGGGGGTGCTGGGGTGAGGCTGGGCTAAGGAGCAGGTAGAGGCAGGACCTGGGAAGGGTTTGGCAGCCGGACCAAGGACTGGGGTAGGGATGAGATGAAGGACTGAGATGGTCCTGGGGGGGGGAGATGGGGTAGGGTGAGAATCAGGGCTGGGTCAGAGCTGTGGCGGGCGGTGGGTTGGGGTGTTCCCGAGGAGCCAGGCCCACCTGCCGAATGGCCTCGATCTCCACGCCCAGTGATGGGGGCAGCAGCCTGGTCCAGCCCACTCTTCTCACCTGGGCCCCTTCCGGTAGCCTGGCCACATGGTCAAGAGGGGAAGGCTCTCTCTGTGCCTGCCCCCTACCTGTCAGTCCACCCACTCTGGGGTGGCTGCTCTGCCCACCTTGTGACTGGAGGTTGGGGGTCCCTGCCTTTGGGCTCCCCTCCTGCCTCCTTCACCCCTGATGTTCCACTCACTCATCTGGCCCCTCATGGGTCTGACTCAGCTGTTCCTCCAGGTGTGAGATTTCCAGCCTCAGTTCCTGCAAAGGAGGGAGTGGGGAACCCCTGCCTCTCTGTTCTTCTCCATCTGCCAGCCTTGGGCTCCTCTTACAGTCAATTCCACTCCCCTGACTTCTCTGGGTTCCTCCAGACACATATTGCCAAGGGACAAGGGGGAAGAAAGCAGTGACAGAAATTTAGGAAGCCAAAGAGAGACTGAGAGCAGCAGGAACCCAGAAGGCAACCCACCAGCCAGGAAAATTAAGAACAAGAGGCATGGATGGACACAGATTCACAGAGGGGCAAAAGACACATGAGGTGTGGGAGACTCATAACGATCAGGGGCAACAGAGGGTAGAGTCGCCCCTGGAGACAGACAGACTAGATCAAATAAAGGCAGACACACAGAAAGATGAGCAGGGAAGATGCAGTGACAAAACCCCCACAGAGAAAGAAACTAGACCGGAGGTGGAGACACAGAGGGAGAGAGAGAGAGAAAGAGGAACAGAGGACAAGTGAAAAGGCAGAGAGAGAGACACAGACTCCACAAGACGGACAGGGGCAGAAAGAGGCAGTGAACTGCAGAGATGGCAGAAGATCGGGGCCAGGCAGGGGGCCAAGGGTGGGAGGGCAGCTGGCTACCTGGGTCGTCGTTCTGTACTCCTCCAACGTCTTGGCCAGACTCTCCATGTGGCGAGTGCGCTGGGGAAGCCCAAAGCCCACTGAGATGGGGCCCAGCCCCGCAAAGATGCAGAGGCAGGGGTAGGGGAGACTGGCAGGGTGAACTTGGGGGAAGAGCTAGGGCCTGAGGGAGAGCATCAGGTTTCTAGATCCTGCAGGGACAGGCTTGCCACACCGGGGGAACCCTCTGACCTCTCTGGGCTGCTTATCCAGGGATGAAACCCAGGCAGGACTCCCCTTTCCAGACCTTGGGGTGGGGGCAGGGGACGGCCAGGAGCACATGGAAGGCAAATGTCACCTCGCCACTCCCAGGCCACTCACCTCCGAGAGGACATCATCTCGTTGGCAAATGAGGCATTCACACTCATAGAGCTGCCGCTGCCAAGGAAGGAGCCTGTCCATCTGTCTGGCCTCCCAGGAGAGGCCTCAGCCTGTGCTGCTGTCCCCAGCCCACCCAACTCTCCTAAGCCCCGCTCCTCAACCTCCCACGATGTCTCTGGACATCACCACCCGGAGAGGGATTTTAGCCGAGCTGCCTGGAGCCCTGGGAGCCTGCTGGCTTGATGAAGTCCCCAGCTCTGACTCGACTGGAGCGGTTGAAACTGGTAGAAATGACACTAGGGAGGGGTGGCACCTTCAAAGCCTCCTTCTCCGTGGCCAGCTCCTCACTCCTCCTTTTGACTCCATTCCGCTCAGCCAGTAGCTTCCCGTTCTGGAAGAAGGAACGGCCACTTCAGCCAATGGCAATGTTAGCACGCGCAGCCGACATTTCCTGAACACCTGACAGGCAACAACAGGCCTTGTGCCGAGCACTTTATATATCTGGGCCCATTGAATCCCTCCACCCACCCTATGAGATCTCAGGTGTGATTTCTCTGTGTGCCACTGGGTGCTCGTCTGTAAAACATGGAGATGAGATAGGACCTACTTCACGGGGCTGATAACAGTATCTGTGAGCACGTTCTGAGCACCTTGCAAGTGTTACCTCACTTCTTCTCCCCCATTGTGCAGATAAAGGCAAGTCTGGCATAGAAAGGTTGAGCACCCCCCCTCCCCCAGGTCATACAGGTGGTCATTCGTGCAAACACATGCTACTGTATGTTAATAAACACAAAGCATTTAGAAGGGCGCCTGGCACATACCGAATGTTCAGGAAATGTAAAATATGTTTTATTTTTTTAAATTTTATTTATTTGACAGAGAGAGACACAGTGACAGAGGGAACACAAGCAGGGGGAGTGGGAGAGGGAGAAGCAGCCTTCCCTCTGGGCAGGGAGCCCAGTGTGCGGCTCGATCCCAGGACACTGGCACCATGACCTGAGCCGAAGGCAGACCCTTAACAACTGAGCCACCCGAGTAGGCACCCTGTAAAATATGTGTTTTAAAGATACTTTCAGAGGGCTGTGAATTGTACAAGACTGTTGAATCACAGATCTGTACTTCTGAACAAATAATGCAATATATGTAAAAAAAAAGAAGAAGATAGCAGGAGGGGAAAAATGAAGGGGAGTAAGTTGGAGGGGGAGACCAACCATGAGAGACGATGGACTCTGAAAAACAAACTGAGGGTTCTAGAGGGGAGGGGGGTGGGGGGATGGGTTAGCATGGTGATGGGTATTAAAGAGAGCACATTCTGCGTGGAGCACGGGGTGTTATGCACAAACAATGAATCATGGAACACTACATCAAAAACTAATGATGTAATGTATGGTGATTAACATAACAATAAAAAATAAAAAAATAAAAAAAGATACTTTCAGAACTTCATGTTCTAAATGTTTCTCACACACACACAAGTAAAAATACCAGTATAATGGACTCCCACTGCCCACCGCCCAACTTCAATAATTATTTACATTTTCCTAGTTTCTTCCTTATTCTCCCAAGTTAGTTTTTTTGTTTTGTTTTGTTTTGTTTTGTTTAACAGATGACTCTAAAGCAAATGCCAGGTAGCCTGTGATTTCTACCTAGACTGACTCCGGCGTTTTCATTTCCTACGTAAGGAATTTTTTACACTACCAAACTCACAATACCACGATCACTGTTAACAAAATAATTCCTTACTATTATCCCATATCGAATTTGTGGTTGTGGTTGTGTTTTTGTTTTTGTTTTTTTTTTCATTTTGGTTGTCTCACAAAAGTCTTTCCACGTTTAGTTTGTTTGCATGAGGATCCAAACAAGGTCCGCCTTGGCTTTTGATCGAAATATCTCATTTCTTTTCCTCTGACAGTGGTTGCCCACCTGTTCCAACCCAGGCACTTTTGGGGGGCCCATCTTTTGGGGAAGAAATCAGGTTATTTGTCCCGTAGAATTGGTGCATTTGGATTTGGCTTCCTGAGTTCTCATTCCCTCCGCAGGACGTTCACCATGTTCCTCCAACCTCTTCATTTCCTCCAAACTGGTGGGTAGATCCAGGACCCTGTCCAGGCTGCTGTTCAATTTTTTGGCAGGAAGATTTCCTGGGTGCTGCTATGCATGTCACATTGTGCCGTTCGGGAGGAATGTCATGTCTGGTTGTTAATGTTTTTCTTGGCATCACCCTCTGATTTTACAGAGGAAACCGACAAGTGGAGGGGCTAAGAAACTTGGCCAAGGTCACATGGTGAGTGGACTCAAACCCAAATCTAACTCCAAATGCTGCACTTATAACCCCCAGACTCTCTGAGCCAGACGCAGTCCCGGGTGAGAATGGGGAACCAGCTTCATCTCTGGCCTCAGGAAGCTCATCGCTAGAGGTGGGGACCAGTGCAGAAGCAGATGATAACAACTTGGGAGGTAGACTCTGATGAGGCCTAGGGCCTGGGCCCTCTGGAGCCCAGATGAGGGGCTTCTTGAAGAGGCAGTGCTGGGGCACCCTGAGTCCTCCAGGGGGAGAATTATCCGAGAAAACAAGGGGGCCAGGAGAGGGGCAGCTCACGCCAGCCACGAAATGGGATCTGATGATAAAATGGCCCCAAATCCAGTCTAGAGTTTCCAGGCACCAAAAACTCAGCAACCTGCACCGACTTCAATGCGAAGCGGCCACAGGCAAAAGCATTTCAGGGCAGAGAGGCAGTTGGACTTCCCTTGCCACGCCCCTCCTCCCTGTGCCCCTGGGGACACCAAGGCCAGTTCCTCCCTCACTCCAGCTGGCTGGGCTCCAAGTCCTCCATCAGCCATCCCTCCTTCTTGGTCTCCGCGGGCCTGGGCTGCCAGGTGAAGGGCAGAGGAAGGACAGGCCAGGAATGCTATGTCAACATCTGTTCACCTGGTGGGGATTTGGAGGCTGGATTCTGGGCCACCCGGCAGGGAACCTGGTTACTCAGCCTCTCCTTCCTTCTTCTGCAGTAACCCGAGCCCTGGTCTGTAGATTCTCTGTAGGAAAGTTGAGTGTCTGAGTGTCCCTTACTCCAGCATTATTCTCCTGTAACTTGAGAACTCGATCTATAGATGCTCTGTAGGCTGCTGTAGGGAGGGGAAAGGTAGGGGGGGGAGTCAACCAAGAATAGCTCTGGTTTATCGAGCGCCTAGGATGTCCCAGGCGCTGCTCAAGGCACTTGACCTGGCAGCAGGCCTTCTGGGCTAGGAGGAGGCAGAGACTGCCGGCTGCGATTCACCCTGCTTATTCCTTCTGCTTTTGTTAGGGGTCCACTCTCCACCTGGGTAGGCAGGTCCTAGCTCCACTCTGTGGGGTGAATAAGAGGGAGATCTCGGCAGATTCGGGAGAACTGGCTGGTTAGCTAACCCAGCAGCCATTCTCATCCCCTCTCACTTTCCCATCTCCCACTCCAGAGGCTGAGCAAGGTCAGATATTCTCCCAGCCTCCCTTGCAGCTGGGGCTGTCATGTGATCCAGTTCCTGCCAGTGCGATAGAAGAGAGGTACGCTGGGGTGGTGCGTATAGTGGGGGTGCTTCTGGAAAAGCTTTTCCTTCTGATGAAAGGAGAGCCATGAGAGGAGCGTTAGCTGGGCCCTCTTGCCCCTCCCTGTCCTGCTTTGAATGAGACCACGAGGGCAGAGCTGCTGCAGCCATCTCTGATCATGAGGCCACAGGCCGATGAACAAGCCTGAGTCACCAAACCAACACAGAGAACTTCAAAGTCTCTTCTTAAGGAAATGATGTCCTTCAGATCGAAGCCGCCATTTCTTTGGTGTTCTCTTCCTTGGAGCTGAAGGTATTCTGGCCCATCCGGGGTTGGATTACCCATGCCAGGGAGTGGTTTGGCTATAATCATATGATGTCCCTTTAGCCAATAAGATATGAGAGAGGTTCTGCCATGGGGCTGTAAGGAAAATTTCTCCTTGTTCTTTTTTTTTTTAAGATTTTATTTATCTATTTGACAGAGAGAGACACAGCGAGAGAGGGGACACAAGCAGGGGGAGTGGGAGAGGGAGAAGCAGGCTTCCCGCGGAGCAGGGAGCCCGATGTGGGGCTCGATCCCAGGACCCTGGGATCATGACCTGAGCTGAAGGCAGATGCTTAACGACTGAGCCACCTAGGCGCCCCAATTTCTCCTTGTTCTTAAAAAGAGATGTTCTGGAAGAAAACAGTCACATCTGGTGTGCACCCATGCCTCACACTGTGGCAGCCATCCCGTGGTGAGATTCCCATTGTCCCAGAGGATGGAATTTTCATGGAAGAGCCAGAGAATAATAGTGGAAAAGTTTTGGATTTAAAGTGTAAAAGCCATAATACAGATGTAGGACAAAGAGATTTGGGGGGATTGGGCAGAATCAGTATCATTGCCTGGACTGGGCAGAGATCCTTAGGGCAGAGGAGGGGCATAGGAGGGTCAAAGAAGAGAGCAGTAGAGGGAAAACAGGCCCTGCGCCAGCCCCAAGCCCCAGGTTAGCTGCAAGGGGTTTAGAGGTAGGATGCAGTTGAACCATGCAACCCCTGGGATGTCTGGGAATCCGAGAGGGGGCATTTCTCAGCTCAGTCTCAGAACCAGCAAGGCCTGTGAGTAACAGAATGGAGATGGCTGTGTGAGGAGAGGAGGCAGAGAGGCCCAGCGAGGCCCCTTGTGGCCACAGAGAGTCTCAGGAAAGCAGCTAAGCCTCCTCTGTGGCCCTGGAAGGGTGTGGAAGGGGCTGAGGGAGAGCCCCCAGAGGTCCTTGTGTGTTGGGGGGTCCAGAGGGCCACCGCCAGCAGATGCAGTGAGGACTGTATGTCCAGAGACCAGAGGCAATGCCAGCCTCCCAGTGGATGCCAGCATGTGGTGGTGACTAAGGCGGAGGACCAGATGGGATGATGAACATCAATCTTGTGACCAGCAGACAGAATAGACATTGAGGGAGGACTGCCGCCTCCTGGAGCATTGAGATGCCGTGTGGGTCTCCAGCAACTTAGATGCTGCCTTGCAGGGGGGCAGTGACGAGTTTCATCAATTGATGAGTTTCAGTTTCCACCTAAAAAGGACTAGGTGGGCCTAGATTTACTAAGATGATGTTCTCTTCTCTGTGTCAGATGGAACGGGGCTTGAATCAGACATGCAGACATGCAGTTGAACTGGGCCATTCCAGACATTGTGCGAAGCCCTGGGCTGAGCACTGTCATTTATTTCTACAACAATCCTGCCGAGCAATTAGCCTCCTCCCATTCTCAGAGAATAAAACAAAGGCTGGGGAAGGGGGAGTCACATGCCTGAAGGTGGCCTGTCTTGTAAGTGGCAGAGATGGGATGTAAACTCAGGGCTGACTTCAAGGCCTGTGTTCCTTCCACCATAAAAAAAAAAATGCTGGGCGCCTGGGTGGCTCAGATGGTTAAGCGTCTGCCTTCGGCTCAGGTCATGATCCCAGGGTCCTGGGATCGAGTCCCGCATCAGGCTCCCTGCTCCTTGGGAGCCTGCTTCTCCCTCTGCCTCTCTCTCTCTCTCTCTCTCTCTGTCTCTCATGAATAAATAAATAAAAAGTTTAAAAAAAAATGCTAATATATGAACAACACTGGTTAACTTTCAGCGAGCACTTCCCGTGGGTCCTGCCTCATGCCTAAGACTACAAGCATCCTCATGTTTAAATCTCACACCACCCGACGAGGGAGATTCTGTTATTTTGCCCACTGTTACAGGTGAGGACACTGAGGTACAGAGAGGAGATGGACCGGCCCATGCTTATGTAGGCAGCCCCCGCGTGAGCCCAGGCAGTTCGCCCCATGTCCCACACTCTTACCAACCAGGGCAGTTCTCACACGCCATCATGTGACCTTCAGAGACACTTGTACATTATTGGGATTCCGGGACCTCCCTCTGCACACTGTTGGGGTGTTTGGGTGCAGGCTGCCGGGGGTGTTTGGGGGCAGCAGGGGTAGGGTGGGAAGGGGGAAGAGGTGGGGGTGGGCACTGGGCCTCAGCTCACCTCCTCCTGCAGAGTCTCCATCTCGGCCACCAGCTGCTGCTGCTCCTTCTCCTGAACGGCCCCAGAGAGAGGACAAAGGCTCCTTCTGGGGCCTCCTTGCCCCCATATTGCCCTTCTCCCACCCCTGGGAACGCATCTCGGGTCTGGGGCCTGGAGGAGCAAGGCTGGGAGAACGGGTCTGAGAGCCCTGAGGGCTCCTGCTGTCCCCTCTGTCACGAGAGGGGTGGCAAATAGATCTGGACCCTGAGTCTGGGGCAAGCAGGACCTGGAGTCAGGGAGGAAGCCAGGGTAACCTCTGCCCCTTCCCATTCCACTGTCAGGCTCTGTTGCTCAGACTCCAAGAAGGGGGGAAAGATGAGGGCACCTTTGTGCCCCTTGCCCAGAACCCACCGTCTGCCGGGCCTGGGCCAGGAGGCTGCGATTCTGTTCCTCCAGGCTCTTGGCCAGAGTCTTCAGGTCCTCCAGCTCCTCATCCACAGCCTTGGCACACTGCAGAGCCTGCTGGGTACTGAGTGGGGGCAGGGCAGGGGGGGGCCACACGGGAGGGAAACAGAGACCAGAGAGACGGATCCACTCAGTCAGTCAGAAGCAACAGAGAAATCCTGACAGGGACCTGGGAGTGGGGCACAGAGACCCAGAGGGAAAAGCAGGGAAAGAACCCAGTGTAGGAGACAGAGACCCAGTTTCTACCTAAAAGACTAAGGAGGTGGGACAGAGACCTGGGAAGAGCAGGAGACTAAAATAGGGGGAACATGACGGACACGAGAAAGAGAGAGCACAGGGATGGGCACAGGCCGCTGATTCGAAGACGCAGAGGAGAGAGGAGGGAGTCTGAACCCAAGAGGCTGAGAGACCAGAACCAGGGAGACGCAAAAGAGAAAGAGGAAGAGCAGAAGGGGACAGCGCAGGGTCGAAGACAGGGCAGGAGGTGCAGGGATAGCACGCGGAGAGGCCACCTGCGAAGCTGCTTGCGCAGGGCCGAGATCTCCTCCCCCAGGTGCGCGGACCCCTCCTCGGCCGTCTCCACGCTGCGCTGGAGCTTGGCGTTCTCCCCGGCCAGCCTGCGGTTGCTGAGCTCCAGGTCCTCCAGGCTGCTCAGCAGGTCGGCGGTGGTGGGCCTGGGGTCAGGGAGGGGCTGGTCACCGGCCACAGTCCCCACCTCCCTTGAGGGGGCAGTGGCGGCGGTGGGGAGAGGAGGCTCTTCTGGAGAAAGAGGAAGAGGACAGAGACTGCCCCACTCTCCTGGGGCCAGCAGCGCAGCCCCCCGCCGTCCCTCACCCACCCCTGAAGGACCCCGAGCCCTATGGCAGGGAGGCTGGAGGGCATGGGCCGCAGGGAGGGCAGGTGGGGGAGCATAGGTACAGCTCAGGTCTGGGGTCTTCGCCTCCGAAGCTCTCCAGGTTGGCTGGCTCCTCGGCTTCTGGGCAGCCTGGAGGGAGAGAGGCAGAGCGTAGTGGGCTCCCCGGTGACCTTAGGTGTCGCGGAGCCCCAGGACTTGGGCTTGGCCTCCACTAGCCTCACCCTCGCATTTGCCCTGGGTCATCTCATCTGCTCCTGGGCTACGATTATATCCACCATCTGAAAGGGCTCTTGCTCACTGCTACTCTGAGCTCAGGCTGGATCTCTCTTGTAGCCCTGAATTCATCACACCCGGCCCGGGGCAGCAGCACCTCAGCTACCCCCAGACCTGTCCCTCTTCCGGGTTTCCCTCCCGCCCACTCGCCCAGCCACTGGGCTGTCCCGGCTCCCTTGCTCCTCCTCATCCCCACAGCCCCCGCCCCGAGTCCTGGCCCCGAGTCCTGGCCGTGACCTTCCTCCCTGACTCTGTTCCACTCTCCTCTCTGTCGTGGCCAGTCCTGGCTCAGGCTTCTCGCTCTCCTCCTGGACCCTCACCACAACCTCGTCCCCAGCCTCCTGGCCTCCTGGCCTCCAGCCTCCTCGTCCCGTCCTTCCCCTACCCAGAGGGGTGTTTCCTCAACAGGAGCTGACCTGCCCCTCCCCTGGCCCCCAATTGGAAGACGCTCCAGAGAATGTCAAGAAAGCTGTTTTTTTCTTTTGTTTGTTTTTGTAAGGTATACGGAACACTTTTTTTGGAGCACCTCCTATGTGTGAGGTTCTAGGGATCAAGTGGGGAACGGATCAACTAACCAAACAGCAGGGCAGGTAACTGAATCAGATGGTCAGAGTTCTCCGGGAAAGCAATGCAGGTCTGTGAGTGAGCCTGGACAGCCAGGGACCTCAGCCCGGGGCGCCCCGGGGCTTCTCCAAGTGTGGGAAGTTTAGGGAGAACCACCAGAGCAGAGGAGCGTGGTGGGCAGGCCCGCAGCACATTCCGGGCTGAGCCAGGAGGCCCAAGGGAGCAGGGACTAGAGAGTAGGCGGGAGCCCAATGACGCTGACAAGGAGAGGTAGGCAGGGCCTTGCACGCCTCTATGATAGGGCTGCAGTAGGGGGAGGACTTGGAACCAGACCCTGAAGGAAAAAAACCCCAAAGCTCAGGGAAAGTGGGGAGGCAGCCATGGAGGTGCCTCGAAAGCCAAACTCACAGCTCCAGGAGAGAGCAAAGGTTCCAGGGGTCCCCCCCAATGCCCCTGGCTCCCATCCCCAGGTGGGAAGTCCCTCCCACTGTCTGACCCTGGGCCTGCCTGCTTCATTCTATATATAGTAGTCTTACCAGATGGCAGTTGCTGGGAGGTCAGGGCCCCCTCCAAGGCTGTCTCCTCTTCCAGCTCTAATCCCCTGTATCAAAGGGATGAGGCTTAGAGCCCCCTGCAGCCATCCCCAATCCTGACCAGCCACACGGCGGGGGGGGGGGCCTGCTGGGGGCGGGAGGAGGGGCCAGGTCAGGTGAGAGCAGGAGCACTGAGAGCCCCACGGTGGGGAGGGAGGCAAGGCCAGCTGGCAAGAGCCCTGGGCCAGACGGAAAAGCAGGAGGGGCAAGGACTGCGTTTGGAGAAGGGATGGGGGGGCCTCTGTCAGCCCCCCAGCACCCCCACGTCTCCCCCTTCCAGCTCCTTTTATTTTTGCCTCCCCATCCCAGGAACTTTGTCTTCAGACCTTCCACCCCATGCCCCCAACCCCATCTCTTCACTTTTTTCTCCTCCTCGGCTTCCTTCGAACCACAGTAGGCTCCTGTGCCCAAAGGGTGCTGGCAGCAGTAAGGAGGTGAGAGGTTAGATCTTAGGAAAGACTTCCCAGGGGAGGGCTGGCAGTGCAGAGACCCACCCATCCAACTGACAGGCAGCGATCCAGTCCCGCATGACGGCCAGGAAGGTGTCCAAGTCCACAGTGGCCTGAGGGCCCTCCCCATTGGGGTCCAGGTTGCAGGCCAGTGTTTGGAGGCGTGCATCCTGGGGGTCCTGTCCCGTCACAGCCTCCAGGTAGGCTAGTACATGGGTCACAGCCACAACGCCTGGGGACAGAGCACGCTGTGAGGGAGTCTGGGGTAGGTGGGGGGTAGGGGCAGGCGATGGCTTGAAAGTAGGACACCAGTGACTGGGCTAGTGACACCCCTGCACCACGGCTTAACCCAGACACTTTGGGAAAGTCCTTCCCTTCCTCTGAGTCAAACTTCTCACCTGGAAATAGAGCCCAACCATCGTCACTCAGAGGGTGGACCAAAGAGGACCTGCTGTACCCCATCAGGCCCACAGTGGCTGCCCTCCCTACCTCTCCCCATGCCTACCCTCTTCCATTAATGTCCTCACCCCGAATGGCCTCCATCCTTTTATCCACTTCCTTTCCGAAGCTTCCCACAATCACCCACCTCGCCCTGCAGGTCCCCCAAGAAGGGGCCCTAGTCCATCCCTCTCTCTATGGCTCCCTGGTTCCCAGCCACCCTCCCCCATCCCTTATTACTCCTCGTGTTTCCCAGGCCCACTGCTGCCTGGCCCCCATCCTGCCCCCGCCAACCTGTCCTTTGGGTGTCACAAGCTTCGAACGTAGAGTTGAGTATTTGCTCCTCCAAGCTCAGCAGCGTCCCCAGACTCCCCTCCTCCAGCTGGTCCCAGAGGTACACTAGGGAGACAAGAGGGTCAACCCGCCCGTGAGAAGGGGGACAAGAAGAGAAGCAGTGACCCTAGGTCCTGTGCTCCTGCAGAGGGGAGGGAATTCATTCTGAGCTACTTGGAGTGGGGGCTGGTGGGGAACAGCAGGAAGCTTCAGGGAGGGGACAGTAACGTAAGGGTCTTTGAGTGGCTTCCTAGCTCCGCACCCTGAGGCTGTGGGGCCCCATCTCTCAGGCCAGGAAGTCCCCCCTGCTGTCTAATCCTTTGTGTCCAAGCCACTCAGGAGCCCAGATAACAAACAAAGGCTCTGAGATCACTTTTGCCTCCTCTCTTCCCTTACCGCCCATGCTCTGCTCAGAGGTGGCTGGGGCGGAGGAGGGCAAAGAAGAGAGGATTCTGGGAGGAGCTGAGGGTGAAGGGGGGCCCCCGGAGCCAGGAACAATTCAATAAGGCGCGGGCAGCCTGGATCGATTCTGCCGGCTGTATCTCCGGTCTCCCTGCATGCCTGGGGGGCCGGGTCTCTCTCCTACCTGAATCCCCAGGCGAGGCTGGCGTCATTGGCGCCCACAGCCAGGGGCCCAAGATGAGAGGGGGTGGGTGATCTAGGTAGGGCAGGCGGTGGGGGAGCAGTTAGGAGCTCAGAGCCCAGCCATACAACAGTGGGCAAGTCGATTCTCCTTTCAGAGCCTCAGTTTCCCCACCAGTAAAATGGGCAGGTAGTGATCCCCCACCCCCAGGGCTGGGAGTGTTACGTTTGTGTATGGGAACAGCCCTCCCAACATACACATACAACGTGCATGTCCCCGGGTCTGTTTGTCCACTGCTGTATCCACAGTGCCTGCATATAGTAAGCACTCAATAGATGCTCCAAGATAGAGAAGGAGATCCTCCACCCTTGGAGTTAATGGACTCCATGTCTCTGGGACTGTAAGTGACTTTCCAGGCTCCCTGCCCTGCCCTTGAACAACTGGGTATAGCAGCATGCCCAGCACAGGCTGCTGGGTCTGACAGACCCAAGGGGCAACCCGAGCAAGGAGCATAGACTCTCTGAGCCTCAGTTTCTTCCTCTGGAAAATGGGGGTGTTCCCTCCCTCCTAGAGGAGAAGTGAGATAAAATCTAGAAAGGCCCTGGGCCCAAGGCCTGGCATGTGGTGGAGGCTCAATCACAGAGCTGAACATTTATCTAGCAGTTAGTAGATGCCCTTCCTCTTCTGGGGGTTTTCTATGGACCATGGTGGCTGCTATTAGCCCCACATTACAGATGAGAATATTCATTCAGTCATGGAGAAGTTAGGAACTTGCCCCAGGTCACCTGTTCAACACATGAATGCTCTTTTTTTTTTTTTTTTTTAAAGTATGGGCTCCGTGCCCAATGTGGGACTTGAACTCACGATCCTGAGATCAAGAGTCGCTCTGCCGACTGAGGCAGGCAGGAGTCCATGAGCGCTCTTAATTCCTTTTACTCTCTGGGGTTCTTTGTAGAGAGCTAAAATCCAGCCCCTTCAGGTTTGAACGTTTGAACCCATGCTCCTAGGGAAGCGGGGAGGGGACCCACAGTTAGGGGACACCAGGGCCCTGCTGGGGCTTTATCTCCTCTCGCTGGGCTCCCCAGGTTACGGAGGAGGACCAGGAGCCCAGCGAGCTCACAGGCCTCACGAGCTCACTCCCCAGGGCTGCTCAGCCAGGGAGAGCGGAGCCAGACTCAGCCTCGGACTGCCTGGCTCAGGGGATCCGCACAGGTCCACCGTCCCTTTCTGGGACCCCCCAGGAACATGTCACTGCTTCTCCTGTTCTCTTTCCTTCATTTCTGTCCTCAGTGTCTCTCCCTCTCTCTGTCTCTGTCTCTGCCTTCTCTGGTTTTCTCTCTGGCTCCTCCTCTCCATCTTCCTCCCCATCCCTCTTTCTGGAGCCTTGCCTCTGTTATCGTCCTCCCCATTTCTCCATCTCTGGGTTCTTTTTCCATATCTCGGCGACTCTCCGTTCCCCAAGCCTCTGTCTCCTTGCCCCACTGTCTCCGCTTCTTTCCCCCTGCCCCCCAGCCTTCCTCTGTCTGTCTCCATCTCTCCTGGGTGTGTCCTTCCTTTTCCTTCAGGAGCCTCCCAAAGCTGGCTCAGTCCTCGCCCACAGGAGCGGTGGCCGCACGCCCTCTGCTGGTGCCCACGAAGTTGCCATGTCAGTCACTCTGTCCATCTGCCCTCGGGTCCCCGAACCCAGGTGTCTGCCTCCTGCCTTCCCCTCCAGAAAGCCTCCTGAGGCCAGAGTCCAGGCCTGCGGTCTTGAGAAAAGACACAGGCTCTGCTGCTGGACGCTGAGAGCCTTGAAAAAGGGATCCTGCCTCTCCCCTAGGGTGGGAGCCTCCTCCCCCATCACAATGAGCTCTCCCACTTAGCAGGTGAATTTCAGAGAGGGCCACCCAGCGTCTCCCTGCTTCTTCCTCCCAAAGCCGGCTTTCACGCCGCTTTGGTCTGCATCCATCCAAACAATCAAGGACTATAACTGAGCGCCTAAGAGTCAGACACTGTTTTAGGGCGGCCACTTGCCACACGCGGTTCTTGAGTATTTAAACTGTGGCGCGTGTGGATTGAGACGCTGTTAGCGTAAACTACACACCAGATCTTGAAGCCTTGGTATGAAAAAACAAAATAATATCTCTGATATATTTTTATATTAATTACACGCCGAAAGGATACAATTTTGGATATATTAGGTTAAACAGAATCTATCGTTCCCACTCATTTTGACTGGTTTTTTTTTTTTTCTTTTAAATGTGGCTACTTGGGGCTCCTGGGTGGCCCAGTCGTTTGGGCAGCCAGCTCTCGATTTCAGCTTGGGTCATGATCTCAGTGTCCTGGGATCAAGCCCCGCATTGGGCTCTGCACTTAGCGGGGAGTCTGTTTGAGGCTCTCTCTCCCTCGCCCTCCGCCCCACCCCTCCATTCTCTCTCTCAAATAAATATATAAATCTTTAAAAAATTAAAAAAAAAAACTAAATGTGGTTACTAACAAAATTTAAAATGACACTTATGGCTGGCACGTTGGACAGCGCTGCTCTAGGGACCGGGAATACCAGAGTGAATAAAACAGACCCCACCTCATGGAACTCAAGTTCTAGTGGGAGAGACAGAGATGAAACAGACGAACAGATGAAGAGAGGCAGGAGAAGGGAGAGAATGTGAAAGTAAGCTTTTCAAAGGAAGCAGAGATCTGAATGAAGTGAGGGCTGAGCCAGTAAGTTGTTAGGGAAGGGTGCTCCGCGCAGAGGGCACAGCGCGTGCAAAGGTTTCTGCTCTAGCTGCCCCAGAGCAAATCAGATACGGTGTCCAGACAGGTGGGCACAGAGCAGGTTCTTCAACGACAGCTCGCTCCCCCACTCCCACCCTGCACACCAAGGTGGAGGCTGGGACACCCTAAGTCACCTCTCCAAGTCCCCGAGGCACAACCTGGCACCCACTCACCCACTGCTCCCTCCTCATCCTCCCATGGGGCAAACAGGGGCCAGCCACCTACTTTTTGCAGTGGGGCCACCCGTCCGGCTCTCTGGCACATCCATGGGCCACCCTGGTCGCTCTGCGGCTGCTGGAGAAACTAACAGCCTGCCTCCATCACTGGGAGGGGCTGACAAAGGCTCCAATGCTCTGAGAGCTCCTGGAAGAACAAATGGGAATGGCCTCCTCAGACCAGCCACCCTGCCCCACCTGTGCCCCAGGCCGCTCTGGGTTCTTAGAACCTGTTTGCCCACCCCTGCCACGACAAGAGCAGCTCCCGCTCAGACCTGTTTTATGGATTGGAGGTGTGGGCTGGGAAAACGGGGGACTGAGGAGTGGGCAGCAGACATCAAAGAGGGGGCTAGTGGGTGCGGGTCACGGCCTCCTTGCTTCCCTTCCACCCTTCCTCCCCACAGCCTGTCAAGTCACTAACCTTGTCCTTCCTGCCCTAGGACTCTACCCTGTCCCCTCCTCTCCTTCCCTACAGCTCTGGGCCAGGCCCCATCCTCTTCCCCCTGGACCCTAATCTCATTCTCCTCCCCGGCCTCCCAGTCTCCAGGCTTTCCCCTCCTGTCCATCTGCGCAGGGCCCCAGAGCTGACCTGCCCCTCCCCTGCTTAGTGTTCTCCCACGGCTCCCCAGCACCCCAGGGACAAAGCCTAGACCCTGGACCCAGCATCAAAGGCCCTGCATGGCCTGGCCCTGCCTGCCTTCCCACCCCAAACCACACCTGCAGCTCCAGCAGCTCTGAACTGCATGCTCGGCCCCCAAACTGGGCTGGCTGTTCCCACCTCCGGGTCTCTGCCTGGGACAGCCTCCTTTCCAGCCCTTCCAGGCTTGGCTCACCTGTCCCCTCCTCTGGGAAAATGTTTCTGAATGAGCGGCAGTCTCTGGGTTTCCACACTGCCCCAGGCGACTGACCTTCTGCCTGTCAGCCTGTATTTGGAACTGTTGGCCTTATCTCTTTCCTGCTTCAACTGCCCCCCCCCCCCACTGCAACCATGGAGCCCTAGTGCCCTCAGGACTAAGTTCCAGCCCCTCTGGCTGGTGTGGGACACAGTGCTCCCTGTAATTCCTTGCCTTTTTGTCACTTTTCTCTCCACTGGCCGACCTCCAGGTCCCTCACCCTCGTCACAGCCATGGGAACTCTGCATCTTTCCACGGTCTTCCCACACCACCCTTACCTGTGGCCCCTGCCCTGGCTCACAGCCTCCCTGGGGAGCCTTCCCTGAGTCCCTGGACCAGTTAGGGATTCCCTCCTCTGTGCCCGGACAATGACCTGTCCTGCCTCCATTATAACCAGGTTGACCATATGATTTATTGTCCCAACTCCAAGACACTTTCAAAAGTGAGAAGGGTGCTATTAATAATTACACTGGAGGGGCGCCCGGGTGGCTCAGTCGGTTAAGCGTCTGCCTTCAGCTCAGGTCATGATCCCAGCGTCCTGGGATCGAGCCCCGCATCCGGCTCCCTGCTCCGCGGGAAGCCTGCTTCTCCCTCTCCCACTCCCCCGCTTGTGTTCCCTCTCTCGCTGTCAATTAAATAAAAAAAATCTTTAAAAAAAAAATTACACTGGACAACAATGCCCATCGGGGGTGAATTGGGCACCCTGGGGCAAATGGTCAACACAGGGTCACCTGGGGCCTGTCTGTCCTCACCCCACCTGCTCATCACCCCTTTCCTCACCAAGTCCTCCCCGCACCCTGCTCTCCCTGGCACCAGCTGGGTCCACACTCCTTGGCAGCTTTTAGAACGTCCTAGAAAGAGCGGCCTTTGAAGAGAAACCATTCCAGGGTTTGGACAATGTGGGAGGGTGCAGAGGGGGGTGATGGCTGGGGGGCTCGAGTGGGGAAGGGTCTGGCACTGGGAGCCCCTGACAGGGATTGCGGGGGGCGGGTTAAACTCCTGGTGAGCGTCGGAGGGTCTTTGACAGGGCAGGTTCCAGCAGGAGGAGGCCACAGGCAGGATTTAAGGGGGTCTGGATCTTAAAGTGGTCTCGACCAGGTTTCTGGGGCGTCTCTGGGTTTCTGGGGGTGTCTGGATTTCAGAGGTCTCTGAGAGGATCTGGGAGGGGAAACTGACAGTTTTGGCGGGTTTGACGAGACTTCTGGGGATCTCTGACAGGACTTCGGGGGAGGGGCGGGAGTGTAACAGGATTTTGGGGGGGTAGTCTGGCAGGCTCTGAGGGAGAAGTCTGACGAATTTCGAGAAGATTCTGACAAGATTTCAGGGGTCATCTATTGGACTTCCTCCTGGGTCCTTTCCAGTATTTCTGAGGGTATCTGGTCAGGATTTCTAGAAAACTTTTAACAAGATTTGGAAGGCCTTGATATTGGGGACGCTCCCCCACGATTCGGGGGCTCTGACAGGGCTTCTCTGGGGAACCTCCCTACAGCCAGGACGCACCTGGGTCCACGTCCTAGTCCCGGGACACAGCCGGGGGCCACCGCTGACCAACGGTAGTTGCAGAGTAAGAAGCTTCGCTTGCGCCGTATGCGCCAGGAAAAGAGGAGAGAGGGGGCGGGGCGGGACCGAGAGCACGCGCGGCGTCTAAACCCCGCCCCACCTGGGCTCCTCCCCGCGACGCAGGCGCACACCGGGAGAAGGCTCGCTCTAGTTTGTCGGTTACCTGCAACCGCGAGGCCGCGTATGCGTAGGGCTACCCGGGCGCGCACGCCGCCTGGTGGAGCGGACGCATGCGTATTGGTCGAGCGGGTCGAGGCTGGAGGAATCAGAGCCGGTAGGGGAAGTGAGGGGCGTCTGCGTCCCCTTCGCTGGGGTCTTCTCTCCCGCCTCAAGCTTGGGTGCAGTGGGCCCAAGCAAGGGAGATTTGGATTGAGGGACCCCTTGCCCATCCCCACTTCTTATCAGCTATTAAGTCATGCCCTTTTTGCCGTCTGTTCCGTGCCAGGCTGCCCGTCACCGTCACAATGATGTCCTACCCTGTCTTGCCCTACCACTCCCGCGCCCTGTGTGGCTTCCAGTCCCTGAAGGATTCTTTCTCAAACCGTTTCATTCATTCCTATAAGGAGAGTGGGGGGAAAAATATTCTCAGCCTTCCCAGCTAGAGAGAAGAGAATTACATCCAAAATCGACTCCCAAGAACGGGGATTTGGGACACAAGATGTCCCATACAGGGGCGCCTGGGTGGCTCAGTCGTGAGGCGTCTGCCTTCGGCTCGGGTCGTGATCCCAGGGTCCTGGGATCAACCCCCATGTCGGGCTCCCTGCTCGGCGGGAGGCCTGCTTCTCCCTCTCCCACTCCCCCTGCTTGTGTTCCTGCTCTCACTGTCTCTCTCTCTGTCAAATAAATAAATAAATAAATAAAATCTTTAAAAAATAAATAAATAAATAAAATCTTAAAAAAAAAAAAGTCCCATCCACTCCGTCTTTCTGATAGCAGAGACACAGAAAAGGAATCCTTCTGCATCCTCCCGTTCATGCCACCATCGTTCATTCAGCTGTCACTTCCTCAGACCTTCCGCTGCCGCACTGCCTGCATTAGGCCCCCATCTCACTAACCACTTAATATTTCTTAGTGGTCCTGATGGGGTGTCTCACAACGTGACATATTGTCTATCTGTGTACTATCACCCCCACTGGAATGTGAACTATATGCAGTAGGAGGCTGTTTTGGGGCTAGAAGATGCCTGGCCCAATGTGAGTGCTCAAAAAAAAAAAAAAAAAAAATGGTGTTAAATGAATGAGTGAACCAATGGATGGAATCCAAGCCTCTTAACTACTGGGCAGTATAGAACTGATGACAAGGCTGTGGGCCTGGAGGCAGACATTCTTGGGGTTGAGTTTTGGCTCCATCACTTCCTTGGCATTAGGGCTTACCCTCTCTGAGCCTCAGGTTTCTTCCCAGAAATGGAGATAGTAGTTGCTTCTTAGGTTCCCTTGAGGACTTAAGGTGGTAGTTGCTGTTAATTGTTATTATTATGGCTATTAGATGGTGACTTGTTACAAGGCCTGGGAAAGAACCTGTTTGACAGGTGATATGATGAGTGGTTAAAAGTGTGAGATAGGGGCACCTGGGTGGCTCAGTCGGTTGGGCGTCTGCCTTCGGCTCAGGTCGTGATCCCAGGGTCGTGGGATTGAGCCCCACATCGGGCTCCCTGCTCCATGGGAAGCCTGCTTCTCCCTCTCCCAGTCCCCCTGCTTGTGTTCCCTCTCTCTCTGTGTCTCTCTCTGTCAAATAAATAAATAAAATCTTAAAAAAAAATAAAAGTGTGTGCTATGGAATCAGACAAACCCAGTGCCATTGCTGTGTGACTTTGGCAAGTGACTTCACCTCTCTGAAACTCAACTTCTTCTCTAAAATGGGAACAAGTAGTACCCACCTCATTGGGTCTTGAGAGTTAATAAGAATGTTTGCCAAGTGTTTTCTTGGCACAGGCTGTCTAGTGGTGGAGTCCTTGGCTTTATTAGTATAAGTTCATTCTTTCTGTTTATTTCATCAGTATTTCTTGTTCCTTCCTCCTTCCTTCCCTTCCTTTCTTCCTTTTTGAGGTGTGGATAATTTTGTAAGACCTAAAAAATTAAAAAAAAATTTATATATAGTTGTAACATACATAAAGTGCTAAATCTTAAGTTATAACTCAGTTAAATTTGTATAGAGTAGGGGCGCCTGGGTGGCTCAGTCAGTTAAGCATCTGACTTCAGCTCAGGTCATGATCTCAGGGTCCTGGGATGAGCCCTATATCAGGCTTCATGCTCATCGGGGAGTCTGCTTCTCCCACTCCCTCTGCTCCTCCCACTGCATGTGTGCTCTCTCCCTCTCTTAAATAAATAAGTAAATAAATCTTTAAAAAAATTTGTACAGAGTAATACATTAATGAAACCACCCAAATAAAAAAAGAGAGTATTGTCTACAACCCCGAAGCCTTATTCGCACCTCCTCCTAATCATTACCTTCCATAGGTAACTGCTTTTGATTATTGCTTCATTTGCTGAACATTATGTTTATGAGATTCACTGTATAGCAGTGGGCTATTCTTTTCACTGCTGTATAATTTTCCAGTGATGAATATGCTCAATTTTACCATTTCACTTGATGGGCATTGGGTTGTTCCTGCTTCCTGGCGATTATGAGTACTGTTGGTATGAATTATTTATTTAGATTTT